CATGTAATATTGTTTTGTCGATATTTATGATAATATTTTAAAATTATAATTTATAATTTATTTTAATAATTATAAAAAAATATAATTTTAAAAAAAGTGGGCTGGCCCGGCAAGCCTGTAGCCCACGTACTTGTGGGCTGGGCCGACCGTTTTCTGGCCCACACCAAAAATGGGCTAGCCCGGCCTGACCCGTAAAATATCAAAGCCTGTATGGATTAGCCCGGATGGGGTGGGCTAGCCCATATTGACAGCTCTACTACTAATTGAGAATAGATTTAAGCATCACATTGATTTTGTGCTTCACTAACAATCAAGGATAATGTATACTTGTCTAATACGAATTAATGTTTATTTATGGCTTAGTTTGCAAATTCTTTCTACCTGACTTAATCTAGGACTCTTACTTGATTTGTATGTGTGTATAAATATAACAATGTATTTTTTTTTTAATACAATACAATTAGAAAGTCTTTCGCCTGTAACTTTTACAAGGGGAAATTGGTCGCCTAGAGTTAAACTTTTATATGAGGCTTTAAATTTATCTAATAAAAGTTTACATATTATATAATTTGTTTTTTTGTAAAGATGATATATGGTCATGTTATACTTGTCTTGATTATCCACTCTATTCTCTCAAGTTTAAATAAATATTTGTATAAGAAATATATACTACTAATTGTTACTAAGGTCTATGTACACTATATCCTCCTCATACTCCACTTTATGGTATTTCACCGGGTATGTTGTTATAGTATTTTAAGGACATGTCTCACGAATGATTCAATTCTAAAATCCAATTTGGATTAGAAGTTAGAATTTGATCAGGAGTGAAACATATTTCAAAAAATTGCGAAACAAAACATTTTCTTTAGAATAGGAAAGTCGTTTTCCATAAGTGGCATTCCACAACGATTATCTCCTCCCCGCTCCTCCTCACTTCCAACCCTCAAACTCCCAGCGTGCCCGACCACCCTCCTCCAAGCTCAATCCCATAAGAAAATGTTTTCTGAATAAGCCATAATTCCCTCCGAATCCAATTTCATCATTTCCTTTGATATTGAACAAACTAGTTGGTCACATTTACAAATTCTTTCGAGCTTAATGGTTTGAAATGATAAAGTTACACGAGAAAAAATTGCAACTTTTCGAGGCAGGTAAAGATTAGAGCCCGTTTGGATTGGCTTAAAAAAAGCAGTTTTTAAGTCAAAAATAAAAAATCAAACTGAAATGACTTTTAAGTCAAAAAATAAAAAGTAGGGGAGACCTACTTTGGGTTTTTGACTTATTTTAAGTTATTTTTTACCTTGCCAAACACTTTCCAACTTATTTTAAGTCATTTTTGACTTATTTTTAATTATTTTTTATATTTGCTAAATACTTTCAGAAGTCAAAAACTGACTTAAAAGTAGGTTT